AACGTTTCAACCGAGTCAAGCTAGGGTTCTTCCTCACAGCCCATTTCCGTCATCAGAAATTTATCGAACCTTGCCTGTCCGGGATGAGATTCTGAAGGGATTACTGAACTGTGATCTGGTTGGTTTTCAGACATTTGATTATGCACGGCACTTCTTGTCGTGCTGCAGTCGGATGCTGGGCCTGGACTACGAATCTAAGAGGGGACATATTGGACTTGATTACTTTGGCCGCACTGTGTATGTTAAGATTCTACCAGTAGGTGTTCATATGGGTCGACTTGAATCAGTATTGAATCTTCCCACTACTTCAGCCAAAGTGAAAGAGATTAAACAGCAGTTTGAAGGGAAAAACTTGATTCTTGGTGTTGACGACATGGACATATTTAAAGGCATTAGCTTAAAACTGTTGGCTTTAGAGCAACTCCTGCAGCAACATCCCGAGTTGCAGGGCAAAGTAGTCCTGGTTCAAATTGTAAATCCTGCAAGGGGCTCAGGGAAGGATGTCCAAGAAGCAAAGAGAGAGACCTATTTAACTGCCAAAAGGATTAATGAGGTTTATGGTTCATCAAATTATGCACCGGTGATTCTAATTGATCGCCATGTTCCTCGCCATGAGAAGTCAGCCTATTATGCTGTAGCAGAATGCTGCATAGTAAATGCTGTGAGAGATGGGATGAACTTGGTTCCTTACAAGTATATTGTTTGCAGGCAAGGAACTCCCTACATGGATGAAGCTCTAGGTATGAATACAGACACTCCTCGCACAAGCATGCTTGTTGTGTCTGAGTTTATTGGTTGCTCACCATCTTTAAGTGGTGCAATTAGAGTGAACCCATGGGATATTGATGCTGTTGCTGATGCATTATATTTGGCCCTCACTGTGCCTGATTCTGAGAAGCAATTGCGGCATGAGAAACACTATCGCTATGTTAGTACTCATGATGTGGCTTATTGGTCACAGAGCTTTGCGCAGGATTTAAAGAGAGCAAGCCAAGACCATTATAACAAACGGTGCTGGGGGATTGGGTTGGGCCTGGGGTTCAGAGTGGTGTCTCTTTCTCCTAGTTTCAGGAGGTTGGCTATTGATCACATTGTTTCAGCATATAGGAGGGCAAATAGAAGGGCAATATTCCTTGATTATGATGGTACTGTTGTCCCTGAAACCTCAATTGTTAAAACCCCCAGCACTGAGGTAATTTCCGTTTTAAAAACTTTGTGCAATGATTCCAAGAACACAGTGTTCATTGTTAGCGGGAGGGGAAGATCTTCATTGAGTGAATGGCTTGCGCCCTGTGAGAATCTGGGAATAGCAGCTGAACATGGCTACTTCATAAGGTCTGTTGGTAACATATTCTGAATGCTTTTCCATAGACTTTTTACTTGCTTTTAATATAAACTAAGGAAGTTCTCTTGTTCCTGCAGGTCAAGTCAAGCCTCTGAATGGGAAATCAGTCCCCTGACTGCTGATCTTGAATGGAAAAAGATTGTGGAACCTGTGATGAGACTGTACACAGAGGCAACAGATGGGTCCAGTATAGAAACTAAGGAGAGTGCCATAGTGTGGCACCATCAAGATGCAGACCCAGACTTTGGATCCTGTCAAGCAAAAGAACTGTTGGATCATTTGGAGAGTGTTCTTGCAAATGAACCAGCTGTTGTTAAAAGGGGTCAGCACATCGTTGAAGTTAAGCCACAGGTATTATCTTCTACTGCTTGCTTCTGTTTTGATGTCTCTCTTACATGCACACGAACTGCTGACCAAACTCACTCTTTTTGGTATTCTATAACATGCAGGGAGTTAGTAAAGGTTTGGTTGCTGAAAAGGTTCTCTCGAGAATGGCTGATAGTGGGAAGCCACCAGATTTTGTAATGTGCATTGGCGATGATAGATCTGATGAAGACATGTTTGAGAGCATTCTAAGCATACTCTCCTCTAAATCGATGCCTGTAGCTCCGGACATCTTTGCATGCACAGTTGGGCGAAAGCCAAGCAAGGCTAAGTATTATCTTGATGATGTTGCAGATGTTGTGAAAATGCTTCAGGGCCTTGCAACTGCTTCGTGTTCAAAACCTAAATATCTTGCTCAAACTCAAATCCCGGTGGCCTTTGAGAGTGCTATTTGAGTTGAAACTAAGTGAATGGCAGGCACAGATTTAAGCAACTGGATATGCTTGCATCGATGATCTGACTTGTCTTGGTAATTCCAATCTGGGAACAAAATATACTTTGATCTCAGTTGTGACTCCGCCCCGCCCAGTTCCCAATTCTCAGTAACTCCAGGGTCCACCTGGTCAGAAGGCTGGATCTGACGTATTTGCAAAGATGGTGGAAAATTTGACAATTTTTATCACGATACATGGTAACATCACATTGTATACTTGCAACCAATCGGTAAGCACACAAACATCTGCGGTGGCATTTTTACCAAATAGGATGGCAGCCTTTACTTGTATAGATACACTTGCTTTTGTCTCAATACGAATTTGCCTGTTTGATACAAAAAATGTTATGCAGTCCTCGCTGCTAACACCATTAGTTAGAGATCATGTTGAGTGTTGCCTGCCATACAGCGGACTGAAACCGGAAGGTGTTGTAAATAGTCACCACATTTAGCGGCTTTATACTTGGTTCACACACTCCACTATGCCATTTATGATTTCA